AAAAAATGTAAAAAAAATTTTTATCCGACAATGGGATTTAAAGATACTCCAAGTGGTGATACCGACGAAATCCCTAAGTGAGAATTTTTTTTTTAAATACTACCAATTATTTGAGTATTTATGAAAAATTTTCAATACAATAAAAAAAATTTTTGTTATAAAATAGTAAATAAAAATAAACTATTAGTAAAAAATAAAGTGATAACAAATAAGGAAAAAATTTTTATCGGAGGATAGGATTATAAAAGTATTCCCAGTAGTAATGCTTTATAAAATCTCTAGGTGAGAAGATTTTTTTTAAATATTACAAGAATATTAGAATATTTATAAAAATCTTCAATACGATAAAATTTTCTCTTTTCTTCAATAAAACAATAATATTAATAATTCAATAAAAAATATCAATAGAATTTATAAAAAATATATAAAAAATGTACATCAACATATTATCATTCACATTGCATGCATAACATAATTTTTACAAAAAGTAAATTCAAGCCTCTGAGGATAAGATTCTAAGGTATTCTAAGAAGTGATGCCTAAGAAATTTCTAGGTGAAAAAGAGTTCTTCTAATGTTACTAATGTATTGGAACATTTTTAAAAATTATTTCAATAAAAGGGTTTTAATTTATTTTTCTTGAATTAAATTTGAACAATGAAAATGAAATAATAAAAATATTAAAAAAAGAAAAAAAACCAAAATTTCAATAACAAAGGAAGTCAAGGAAATTTTTTTTTCAAATATCGAAACTAAGACTGTTTTTGTCAAAATCCATGGATTACACATAATTAATTGATACCATTTCTAAACAGGTGCTGTAGGAGTGTTAATCCTTCATAACACGTATCCGACTCCTAGACCTAAACTGTTTCTCAGATTATCTTTTTAATAAACTTCAATTAATTTTAAGATTTTATTAAAAGGATAAATCTTAATAGGTGGTCAAAAGATTGGTGGTGACTCTATTTTGTATTTTCATTTTCAAATTCGTCGAACGGCTCTAAAACTGTTATGACAGTTAGTACGATTTAATTTCTTAATTTTAATGATTTTTTTTATAATAAAAGATGGTCTATTTAATTTGGTAATAAATATTGATGCTTTTTCTTCTCAATTAGGTTCATTATTTACAATATTGTAATTTATTAAATTTTGATTGTGTCTTTTATTTTGTTTGTTGCAAGTTTATGACTTTGTATATAATGAACCTAATGTTATGGCTATGAGGGAATTGGAAATGAATTTTGAAAAAGATTTTGGAAGGTTTGTGACTAACTTGCTCAATTTCATTTTTTCTTCCTCTTTTCCTTCTTGATGGTGAATAAGTTATACTTTTTTCCTTATTAACTTCATTATCAAGATCTTTATTGGTTTTTCAATTTTTTGGTTTTTTTCCCTTTTTTCTGAGGTTTGTTTATTTTTATTTTGGATGATGGGGGATTTTGTTTTATACCTTCCATATTGAAAACTATCACATGCTTTAAAACTTTATAATAAAAAGTCATTAACCCAATTCTTTCCCTTTTCCATCTCCATGATCATTTTTTTCATTTTTTTATTATTATTGATAATATATGAACAACTAAAAACAAAACAAGTTTATATTTGATACACTGTCAGTGTATAAATTTTATACACTGTCAATAAATTAGATGATATAACTCATTAATGGGATGAAATGCCTCATTAATGAGTAAGTTATTTTATTTTTTGTACATTTATTTTAAGAGTTGATATTTACTCATTAATGAGTTGCCATTATATAATTCACTGACAGTGTATAGAATTTATACATTGACGATGTATCAAATATAAACTTTTTTAGTTACATTTGTTAGGACAAATACATTTGGAGTATATTTATTCATGCTTGCAATTGATTAGCACTTTCTAATGTACCTACCAAAAATTTAAGTTAGTTGTCAATGCTATTGTAAGAAAATACATGATTTGACATATTGTTATTTATCCCGGGTAAAAAGTTATGGTTAAGTCATTTTTATGGATGTAGAGAGGTAAGAATTTTGTTTTGTCCATTTGATTTATTTTGTAATTTTATAAAAATTTGGAATGACTCGGATCATATTTTATCTATTATATTGTTCATTTGTATTGTTTTGACTTTTAATGTTCATTATATGTTTATTCTTAACTAGGTTTATGTTTGTGATTCAAGGCATCATCACGCTTACCAATACATCTAGCACAACAATAAATTGATGGTAAATGGTGCTCAATTTACATTTATTGACCAACATGTCTGATTTGGGATAGTACTAAACATTTACCTTTTAACTATGTTCAAGAAAAATGGTTAATTTTGTTTGCATGATAATGACTTTAGGTTCCTACAAAAATGGTAAAAAAATTATAATAGCTTATCTTCCTTTATCCAAGTTTCAGTATCTCAAAATTGTAATTAAATTCTATGCAATGTGAAATAATTTGTGTTATTTACTTAGATGAAATGCACTTTTGATTTCTTAACAAATTATATATAACAATCAAACTATTATTGGTACCTTTTCTTGAATTCATAATTTTGTATCTATTCAATTTGCGAAAAAAAATGGCATGAAAAATATTGTCTTAGATGTTCTACTCATAAATTTTCAAACGAGTTCAGGCACATATATATGCAAGCACCAAAATGGTCACTGCAAGTAGAACTATACTAATACCTTCAATTATGGTTGCAATGATTTTTGCTTTTTTTAGTTTTTTATAATTTTATTATTAAGGTATGAGTGTTGAAACAACATTTCCCCCATAAACTAAAGCAACAATTCTTTTTATTTTTATTTAGAAAGTTTTCCTCAAATTTAAATTGGAAATGTTAATAAAATTTAGACCAAAAGAGAAAAATGGAATTAATTTATTAAGAAAGAGATTTCAAGAATCTAGGGCAAGAATAAGATCCCAAGACATTATTACAAATATTTTTATATTAAATGGCAATATTGTAACATAAATTATGTGATTTACATATAATGTATGTAGTTATTTTTGAAATTGTTTGTGTTAGTGGTGAATTAGAAACTGTTTGAGTGGAAACTTCAAGGTTTGTTATTTTTGAAACTTTATTTATTCATATATCAAAAAAGATGAGGTTTTAGTTTGAGTCCATTACTTCAGCAAATTGTAAAAATTATGTTAGAACGTTAGGCATTGTTGCTATTGCATTTGATTTGTCTGTTAATGTTGTTAATGCAATGGCTTTTTCATCTAAGTTTGGCTGTGTGGGGTCCAACTATTTGATGATAATCATTTTTCACCTTTTTTATTGATAAATAAATAGTGATGAATTTTTTTTTTGTTTTATTAGTGACTTTTATTCTTCATTCATAAAGGTAACATATCAGCAAAATAATTAATCTCTAATGCAACAATATCAACCTAAATCAATTCTTAATAACAACCAAAAGCCACAAGAAACACCGTTATCTTAAACCACCAAACAAACTACAAATGAACTTTTTCTAGAAGAACCCTTTTCGAAAAAAAAAACTCAAGTGCCAAGTATTACTCTTATTAATACATGATTTATTTGCTATTGTTCTTATTAGTTATACTCTATAGAATATGCAATGTGTTAAATTATCTTGACTTGTAAATTGTGTGTGTGTGTGTGTGTTTTTTTTTTTTTAATTTGAAAAAAAAATTTTCATCGCAAAAGTAAGTTTCCAAAAAGCACTTGTTTATTGTCTTCCAAAGAGAAAATCAATAAGCTGATTAAAAATTGAATATTGCTTTAATTGTTTGATTTACTACAATAGATATTATGTTTATTTTACTTTATTTTTGCAAGTTTTGAAACTTTGCTATGTGCTTTAGGATTAAATTGCATAATTGTACTAGCCTTTATTTTTTTTAATCTCATATTTAATTTGTTGGATGAAACCTTTATGATTTTTAGTACTTAACGTCACAAATTCAGATTACTAGAAATATATTTCCTTTCTGTTGAATTTGTTATGTTTCTTTGTTTAACCTTATACTTTAGTATTAGTTATGTCATATAGAATCTAAGTAGTCAAGTGTTTGTTGAATCCAAATTTATTAACTAATCTTAGGATATGTTTGATACATAAAATTATGATAAGATAATTTATTTATTGGTCAAAATTATTTTTGCTCAAAATTTATATAATTTAAATTATTGAAATAATTTTTAAGGTTATGATAAGATATGTAAGTTTAATCCTATGAATTAAAAATAATTCTCTTCACATTGGGAGGATTGAATCATCATATACCAAAATGATGATTAATCATTCTTGTAATTTATTCCTTTAGATACAAATCAAATATAATATAAAATAATTAGTATCATATCTTATTCATCATTCAATGCACCAAACATAATTTTAATATCTTATATTGATATCTTTAATAGTCAATACAATTGTATACTTCTTTTTTTTTCATTAATTGAAATGAATAATTATTAATTTGAAAACTCATTTCATGCAATGAAAAAGATATAATAAAATCAGTAAAGTATATATTAGAAACAACACTAACACTCTCCTCCTAACCAACTAGAATATTTTGACAATGACATTATGAAAGAGATCAGACATATTCCAACTAATAATGTTAGATGTTGCCATTGTAAAGCTCTTGAACTTTTTTGTATGATCCATATGTAATAGCACGTGCAAAGTTATCACCTTTCTTATATTATATGTAGAGACTTGTATCTAATCTATTAAATATTATTCGTTTTAACTCGAAAATCTTAATATTTTATTTCATAAAAAACATATAATAAGTTTAGATTTAGATCTTTACATATTTAATGGCATGTGCAAAATTATTGTTATTCTTATATTATAAAAGTCTTAACTATTTTTGCAAATATTTTTCATTTTTTTTACAATAAAAACTTCACAACATATACAAAACTTTTACTTAATTAAAAAAATAAAATAATCTCTAAAATTATACCAACTTAAATTAAAATCCTCGACACAAAATGCGGGTAACTCACTAGCTTCATTTAATTTTAACGTGGATCAAAAAATATTTTTTAAAAATAATTCTTAAAAAAAAATGGGGCCCACCGGCGCTGAATTTGAAAAGCAAAGATTTCCCTCTCATTTTAATCCTCCGTCGTTTCATACTGAGAAAGAAGTGGAGAAAAAAAAAAAAAAAAAAAAAAAACTATGGATGTTACTCTGACAGAGTCGAACGATTCCTCCTCTGCTCACGACCCTCTCTTCCCATGGCTCCTGTATTCTTCTCTCGTTCGTTTTCTTAAAGTTCTATAAATTGTTTGCTATGAATTACTTTTCTCTTTCCTAACTTATTGCAAATCCAGGTCGATCAAGAAGGCATTAGACGAATGGTACTCAGGGAACCGCACTGATGCAGATCTCGACAAGCTTTTATCAGATTGTATCTCCACTTTCAAGCACATTGCCCAGTACCGAAACGACCTTAGATTTCTCAAGATTTGGTTCATTTATGTAATTATATATCTACTTGCTCTTGCGGTTTGCTTTTGCTTTTGGAAATTTTAAAATGTAGCTTGGATTGGGGTTTTTTGCGGGATGTTGCTATAATTGGTTGAGGTTGGTGGTCAACTATATGAAGGGTTTGATTTGATTTTTCACGTTTTGTATACTTTTAAATGATTGAGCTTATATGCCTTTAAGAGAGAGAGAGAGAGAGAGAGAGAGAGAGAGAGAGAGAGAGAGAAATGGAATTTTCCTCAATTTATGGAATAATGTTTGCAGTGGGTATTATTCAGATAACTTAAGTGGGTTAACTGAGTTATTGCTCTTGCATTTTAGCATTTCTTGAATTTTGCTCTTACATTTAAGAGTTTTTACGCACTTACAAGTAATGCTTCAAATTTTCAGTGGATTTGGTACCTTGGATGGATAATTTTATCGGGGGTTTAAATGTTGCATTAACTCCATTTTGTGGTTTTTTCAGTTGGAAGGCAGTAAAGATTTCGGAAGTATTTTTAGAGAAATGGAGGAGAATGAGATATGTATTGGACATTCTCTACTTTATGAATGGTATGCATATTTCCTTGAAGCCAAGGGGAAGTGGAAGGAAGCACACATGGTTTACCAGATTGGCATTTCAAGGTTTTTTTTTTTTTTTTTTAAAGTTTTTGCTTATTGGGATTCATCTTTTATGTTTTGATACTTTTATTATGTTTGGAGAATAGGAAAGCTGAGCCGCTTGAGAAGCTGAAGGGGGCACAATCCTTATTTGTTAAAAGAATGTCTGAAAGGCTTAACACTTCCTCATTTGGGAAGGTAATTGAAGCTTAACCAGCAAAAGAAAATCATGAGGTTTCTAAACATTTTCCCTGAATATATATTCCAAGCACATTGGATATGATTGTGAATGCATGCGTGCATATAAAGTGGGGTGCACAAGTTGAAATCTCTTTGTTAATTTCTAAACATCTTAAATATCATGATGAGATTTTATTATGCCTCACCTTGTGAACTTTTGTGTAAATATCAGGCTAATGCCAAAGAATGTTCCCCATATGTACGGGAATTTGAAGTTTCGGGGATTCAAATTTTGGTGTTCAGTCTTTTGACTCTTTTCTAAATGAATGCCTAAGGCCTCAGCATCAGCTATTTCTTTTTTACCATTTTTACAAATGCCTAACTTGTTAACATACATTCGCAGCAGATTGACAGAGGCGAACAAGATGAGTTTGGCAAAAAATTTATTAATCCATGGTCCACCTTCACCATGGAAGAGCTTTCAAAGAAGATACATCCTCAAATTACAAACTATGATGTGAGACATTTTGCTTATATTGTTATGCATGTTTCTCCACTTTTCAGTCTTATTCCTGGTTAGTCTTATTATAGTCTTTTGACATTTATTTCAGGGATACCACCTGAGTAAGAAAGTTTACTCTGGAAAAGTGGCCTTATCTTTGTTGAAGAAATCGTCAAGGAATAAAATTATTGAGATTGGTAATTTTTGTGATTCTGCAATATGATTCTAGCTCGATGCTTTGAAACCATTGTGTGATTATGTGAAGTTTTCTAGCCAAATTTTAGAAATATACCAGATCTACTTTAATAATTTGAGAGATTTAAAGGCAAGGATGAGGTTCAGAAGTAAACTATAAGATCAAAATTTGCTGCCAGCAATAATATGTGGCTTTGCTTAACGCCTTCATGAAGTAACTACATTTGCAGGCAACTTATTTCCCCTTTTCTTTGGTTCACCAATTTTATGGACTATATTCCTTAGTCTTTAGCCTATTCATCCTACAGTGTGCTTGATTTTTGAGTTCAATGGAGATACTGATGCTTTCTCTTTTCTTAATTGACAACACTCTTTACAATATTTCATGAGTTTAGAGAGCCAAGAATTGTATTAAGAAGCTACCATTCTTTTTCCTATGAATCCCAAAGTTTTTAGAGACGTACAAATTCATTATAGGGAACTAAACTTGTTTCTTTTATTGCATTTATTTTCAAAAGGAGGAAAGAAGTATCAGATCAAGGGGTGTGCTGGTCAGGGTGGGTTTGCTCAAGTATTTAAAGCATACATTGATAGCAATCCTCATGATGTTGTTGCATTAAAGGTTACTGTTATCCTTCATCTCCTCCTTTTGATAAAGATCACTGTATCACGTATTGGACTCTGTCCTAACATTACAAAATCCTTTTGCAGATACAAAAGCCTGCTTTCCCTTGGGAATTCTACATGTACCGTCAACTTGATGAACGCATCTCAGACAGACAGGTATTAATATTTCTAGGTTCTTATAATTTTACATCATTATCAGTGTATTCTGGTCCAATGAGCTTTTGTTATTTTTTTTTTCTTTGTATCAGAGATCAAGCTTTGGTTTTGCTCATAAAATTCATATCTATTCCGACTGTAGCATACTCATATGTGACTATCTATCTCATGGGACACTTCAGGTAGGTTTATCCCCCTTCCACAGCTCCAACCAAATATAAGTGAAGGGAAAAAAGTGCCTTCTGTAATATTTGCTCTTGCTTTGTGCAGGATGCCATTAATTCTTATGTGGTTACTGGCAAGGCCATGGAAGAGGTATTGTGTATTTTTTACACTACAGAGATGCTTTACATGTTGGAAACTTTGCATGGTGTTGGCATCATTCATGGTGATTTCAAGCCTGATAATCTTCTCATTCGCTATTCTAAGTAAGTGTCTTTTATTTCACCACTATAGATCATAGACTGTATGTTTCGTATGACTTTCATATAACTGTAGCATGGTACTTAATATGTTAATTACCAAACATGAAAAAGAAATATAACAATGAATTTCATAGAAGGAACACTAATGACCCTAATATAGGAATGGCAACGGGTCTGATACTTGCTATTTTTGAGGCATCCTTATCTGAATCCTATTAATTTTCATGACATCTGAATCCATTAATTATCCGATTAAATTTGATTATCACTATTAGAACCCTAATCTAATTAAATAAGCAATACACATTAAATATCTGAATCCATTAAAATACCCTATAATTATTATTATTTTTTAATAAAAAATTTATTATTGTATTTTATTTCACACAATAATTAAACTTTTAAGTAATGATATTAGGATATTTTTGAAGCACATTATTACTTATTATGAAAAAATTAAGAAATAAAACTGTATGAAAAATTAAAAATAAAACTGAATGTATATTGAAAAATTAAGAATAAAGACTTATTCAAGCATCTTAGGTTTGTATTCAACTAACTAGTGAGTAAACTAAGAAATTAAATCTTCCTAAAAAAATGATCCTATAATTGAGGGATTGTTTATCCTAATGTTTTTTCCTTAATTCTAGGGATACAAATATAAATATATAGATTATAAGATTACAATCAGCTGTAAATAAGTGTTTACCCACACTCTCCCTCAAGCTGAAAAATAGGTTCTTTCTATTCCCAGCTTGGAAATAATTTTTTGAAATGCTGCACTGCTGAGACCTTTAGTCAACACATCTGCAAGTTGAACCTTGGTTGATATATACGATGTACAAATCAACCTACTATCTAGTTTCTCCTTTATGAAATGCCGGTCTACTTCAATGTGTTTTGTTCTATCATATTGCACAAGATTGTGTGCAATGCTTATTGCAGACTTGTTATCATAGTAGAGTCTCATCAGTCCATCTCATTTGATCTTCAAGTCTTCTAGGATAATCTTTAACCATAGTAGTTCACAAATTCCTTGAGCCACTATTCTGAATTTTGCTATAGCACTTAATCTTACCATCACATTCTGGTTTTTACTCCTCTAAGTCACAAGATTACCATCTAGAAAAGTGTAGTAGCTTGAGATAGATCTTTTATCAGTTATTGATAATCAATATCTGTATATGCCTTTAGAACCAACTTTGAATTTCTTTTAAATAAGATACATTTCCCAGGATTGGCCTTCAAATAGTACAATACATGATAGACAGCCTATAGGTGCACTTCTTTAGGACTATGCATAAATTGACTTATCACACTCATAACATATGCTATATCAGGTCTAGTATGTGAGAGATAAATGTGTCTTTCAATTAATCTTTGGTACATCTCTCTATCTACAACAGCATCTTCATTAGCTTCTCTAAGTTTATGATTAGGATCTATAAGGGTATCTGTAGGTTTACATGTGAGCTTTTTAGTTTCTTTAAGAAGATCTATCACATATTTTTGTTGTGAGATGAAAATACCATGCCATGAGTGAGCTATTTTAATTCTTAGAAAGTACTTCAATCTGTCTAGCTTTTTATCTCAAATTCTCTAGCCAAATATTGTTTTAGAAATTCTCTCTCTTTTTCATCATCTCCAGTTACAATTATATCATCAACATACACTAATAAAACTGTGACTCTCCTTGAATCAGAATGCTTGATAAACAATGTGTGATCTTCTTGACTCTACTTATATCTCATTGCTAGCATCACTTTGGCAAATCTTCTGAACTAAGCCCTAGGAGACTGTTTAAGGCCATATAAGGACTTTTTAAGCTTGCATACTTTTTTTGCTTCTAGATGACCTCCAAATCCTGGTGGAACTTTCATATATATTTTTTCATCCAAATCACCATGTAGAAAGCATTCTTTACATTAAATTGTTGAAGTTGCCAATTGTAATTTGCAGCCAATGATAACAAAATCCTAACTGTATTTATCTTGGCAATTGGAGCAAAAGTTTCCTAATAATCCACTTCATAAGTTTCCTAATAATTCACTCCAAATTGATTCTAGATCATGTCTTGGAAGCTTAAAAATACACTATTCACATCTGATTTGGATTTAAGTAAAAATATCAAAGAGACCCTGGTACAATCATCTATGAAAGAAACAAATCACCCTGCACTTAAAATATTAAGAATTGTTGAGGGACCTCATATGTCACTATAAATAAAGTAAAAAAAGGAGTATAACTTCTTTTATTGCTAACTGGAAAAGATACACATCTATGCTTTGCAAGTTCACAAACATCACAATGAAAAATTTTGGCATTTAATCCTTTGAACAAAGAAGGAAACATGTTTTTCAAAGTTCCAAAAGAAGGATGTCCAAGACGAAAATGATAAAGCTAAATTTTATTTTTATTGGGAGATTTTTTAGAAAGAAATGATAAAGGTAAACTATTCTTGATATTACTTCTGTTGTTTGATGTCTCAAGATAGTATAGTCCATCTTTCTCCTTAGCAAGTCCAATCTTTTTCCCTGAACTCTAGTCCTGAAATTCACAATAAGAGGGATAAAAAGTCACTTTGCAGTTCATAGCTCTAATAAGTTTTTGTATAGATATTAAATTAGTAGACAATCTAGGAACATGAAGAATATTTTTAAAAACAAATGAGGGATTAATTTGAATATTTCCTAATCTTGCTGCTACAGTAAATGAACCATCTGCAACAATAATTTTTTTATTACTAGGACACAGGTATATGTACTACTAGACTTTTGTGAAGAATGTGTCATATGGTTTGTAGCTTCTGAGTCAATGACCCAAGAACTCGTAATAGATTTAATCGAGATATTTAATCAATGAGAACTAGAAAATTTACTTGAACTAGAGATCTTACCCAAGGAACATACCTCAGTAGGCTTTTCTTGGATTTTCAATAGGCTTCTTAGCTTCTAAATCTTTTCTTTGTCCAACTTTCCTTGTTTTTGAGACATCTGTAGTATTTTGGTGATTTTTCCTTTTGATTGGGTGGTAGTGATATCTTTCTTTGAACTGAAAGAAGTAAGGTTGAAAATTTTGCTTCCCAAGAAGAGTCTAAAGCTCTAATACCATGTGAAAAAACTAAAAAATAAAATTATGGAAAACTAAGAATAAAACTAAATGTATATTAAAAAACTGCTCATAAAGAATTATACAAGCATCTTAGGTTTATATACAACTAACTAGTGGATAAATTAAGAAACTAAATCTTCTTAAAAAACTGATTGTATAATTGAGGGATTGTTTATCTTAATTTTTTGTCCTTAATTCTAAGGATACAAATATAAATATATAGATTACAAGATTACAATCAGCTGTATATAAGTGTTTTTCCACACTTATTGTAAGATTGATCCCCTTGGTAATGCTCGTAAGAATAAGGATTGCTTAAAAACTTAAAACAGGTTTGGGTATTAGAAACCTAAGGGGTGCTACCTGATTCCAACATGGATAATAAACTTACTATTCGAATCCAATACTTGTCTGTTTGTAGGTATTCAAATCCGACATAATCGAATTGGATAGTGTTGGGTACCCAATTGTTTACTATCCATTGCCATCCTTACCCTAATGACAATGTAGGAACTGTTATGCTTCTACCTTTTTAGTTGTAATTCAACCACAATAAACACTACACTCCTGATAATTAAATTGGAATGACATTGCACTTGTATTTATTAAGAAGCATTAAGTAGGACTAGCATCACATGTAGGTGAACCAGCGCACAAATGAATAAGCCATCTGTAACTGTTCACAAAAGTCATGAAGGTATTTATGCGATAATCGTGCACTCCTGCTTTTCACCTTTCAAATAATTCAAAAACTTGGCATAAAGTCTGAATGCTTACTTGAGAATCGTTGTTAACATAGTTGTAGTATAATATGAATTACATTTGATCAGTCTTTTTATGCAAGTGTGATTTTTGGAGTTTGGCACGTAATACATGGATTTCTGACATTTTGCAGGGATGACCTCTCGGAAGAAGGGTTTAAAGATCGAACTGGCCGTTGGCGTGATCAGGTTAACAATAATTGCATAGAAAATTAGAATTTTTATGGTTGACAATTGACAATTAGAATTCGTACTTATGAGTTTTATTTAGCAGGGTCTTTGCCTTGTTGACTGGGGTAGGGGTATAGATATGCATCTATTTCCAGACAACACAGAATTTACAGGTGATTGTCGAACTTCCGGGTTTCGTTGTATTGAAATGCGAGAGAAAAAGCCATGGACTTTCCAGGCAAGTCTCTGTTTCTTGAACCATTGCAAATTGGTGTCTTTAATTTCATCGGATGATTCCTTTACCCTGATGTCTCATTTCTCACCAGGTGGACACATATGGCCTATGTGTTGTTGTCCATATGATGCTGCATAATGCTTACATGGAGATTGAAAAAAAAGCCTCAGACAATGGCTACATTTATCTGCCAAAATCATCTTTTAAACGGTATTATTCTTTTATTAATGCATATTCATAGATAATTTTTTAGTTCTTCAGTTCAGGTGTCAATTTCTTAATTAACTTCTTTTGATCCATCGACAAGTGTAATTTAAAATATAAAAAATTCACACATAACTGGAGCCATATTTCCTTCTATCCCTTTTCTTGGTTGGCAGTGCCAGTGCCTTAACTCCCACTATGTCTGCACCATTGCTTTCAGATATTGGAATGTTGACCTATGGAAGAATCTCTTTACAAAGCTGCTTAATGTTAGCCCAGGCAACAATGATAGAGAGTTGTTGCATAGCTTGAGGAAGTCATTCCTGGACTACATGCATGATAACCCACTGCTTGTAAAGAAATTAAAGGAATTGCTTGTGAAACAACGGGCTACCTTGTGTTCTGCTTAATGAACCTTTGGTCATCAGCATTCCAGAAGATATTTCGCAACATTCTTGTAATTTTTTAGTGGATAACAAGTTGGAAGTTGCTATCTAAAACTGATTTAAACGGAGAAATCTCTTGACTTCTTCATAATAGATCATATGTACAGCCATAAATTCTAGCATCAGTTTGTTGTTATATTGCTGTATTTTGCTAGTATACAGGTACAATTTTACAGCCTGGTGGGTAGTCCATTGTAAAAGAACTTTCCGGGTAGTCTTTCAGAAGAATTGATTCAATGATGTATGAATAGCTACTACTAATGTTTTTCAGGATTATGGCAGGCAGCAATAGATTTGGTAACTTCAAATATGATACAGTTATATGAATTTATGAATATGAAAATAGATATGAAAAAAATAATGTGTTTTAAAAAACATATTTTATATTGATTTATATCGATATAAATTTTGATGTGACATAATTTGTATTTTATTGACATGTTTAAATATTTGTAAGAGATAAAAAACATATTTAAATAAAATGTGTTATACGAATACACGTTTAATATGTGATACAATACGAAAAACATGTTTAATTTAATTTTGTCATGTGAGTATGTATTTAATATATTTTTTAATATTTATTTTAATTTAATATAAATAAATAAAGATTGTTTTAATTTTTAATTTTTTAATTATGATAATTAGTTTTTTAATACCATATAAAGATTATTTTAAATATTTAATTATAATACTCATTTAATGATTATTATAAAATTATATTTTATATTAATAATATAAAGAAAATATAAATATTAATACTAGTCTTATACATTATTGTTTTATGAGTTTATATTTAATACACTATTAGTGTGTAAATTTTATACATTGTTAGTGAAATGAGAACTCATTAATGAATAAATATCAATTTTTAAAATAAAATAACATAAATTAAAATAATTTACTCATTATTGAGGTATTATTTTTAGATTCAACTCATTAATGAGTTGTTATTATCTGATTTATTGATAATACTAATAGTGTATCAAATATAAACTCTTATTTTATTCTTTAATCTTTAGTAATTTATCATTTTGAATTTGATATTAAAAATTATTATAGTGATGTAATATATATTAAAATTTAAATATATATTAAATACATATTACATAGGCATCAAATTTTTTTGTTCTTTTTAATATACAAGTAATATGTCAAGTTTATTAAATTATAAATGATGGAAATTTATAATTATTTATTATTTTAGCTGATTTTTGTATATATTTTATGTTTTTTATGTTTATTCATGTATATTCATATTAGTCGTGTCTATTTATATATATTTATATTATTCGTATTGTGTTTAAAAAAATTAATTATACACGTATTAATCGTGTTGTATTACATATAACAAATATAATAAACATATTATATTTTTACTTAAAATTTAAACATATTTTATAATTTATATTGTATTTATATTTTAATAATTTATATCATTTTATGTATCAAATATAATACAAGACATAATATAAAAATAATAATTATCATGTCTAGACAATAACTAAATCCAAAATATGGATAAGCTGGGAGTTCCTTGCAATTGCATCATTCATTCAAATAAACCAAACTACTTTCTTATTGCAAAAAAAAAAAAAAAAAAGAAAAAGAAATGCCTTGAATGACTTACAAGCAGATATTTGGCACTTGTTTAGGGATGGTAACGGGTGATCCGTTCTGATATGGTTTGATATATTTTTGAAATCAGAGGTTCTGTTGAGGTTTTTTTTTTTTCCTTCTAAAGTTAGATTTTAGATGGTACTGCGTTGACTTGATCTAGATATATATAAAAAGATTTTTTATTTTAAATATATGTATTTTATTAATAAATTTATTATTTAATATTTTAATTTAAATTATTAACTTAATAAAAAATATTATATTTATATATAATTAAAATATCATTATATTAAAAAATAATATTTTATAAATATTAAATTAAATTAAAATTATTAAATTAATTTTAAATCGATTTTAATTTATAAATATATGAATCGAATAAAATTTAATATGAAAATAATATTTTAATATCAAACAGAATATATATATATATATATATATATATATTAAATGATCAGAACAAAATTATCAAGTGAAAATTCATCATGAACCGTTGCCTTCCTTGGGCTTGCTTGTGTAGTTCTTTTTTATTTGACCTACAACATTTAATTAAAGATTAATGTTACAACATTTGAAATATTTAATGTGATATTTGTATTTTAAATATTTTTAATATAATAATTAAATTATAAATATGTTAATTAATATATTATTTATTTTAAATGTGATTAATTTTAAATAAAAATAAATAAATAATTTTTTAAATAATATATTAATTAATAAATTTATAATTTAAATATCCACTAAAATTTTTTAAAATTTTAGACATTTTACAGCGAGAAGACCATTTATAAAATTAACCTTTCCATCTAAACAAATTTTGAACGAGACCACTCCTTCCTTGGTCCTTGCTCATTAGGACAAGGGCAATTCAAAGAGCAAAGCAAGGTCAAATCCGTCATTATAGAGAAGAACCAAACCCTAAACCGAAGTCAAGGTTTACCCGGACGTTACATAGGCTCGTCTCTTTATTTCTCGTCGCAGTAAGGAAGTGGTATTAGAGCTTCCTCGCCTTCCTCTCAGGTTACTTTCTCATTTTTAGATGCACATCCCTTGTAATTTCTTGTATGATCTCTGTTCTTGTTTCCATTCCCTATGCCTTTTGATTTTGCTCCTCTGCTGTTTGGTTGCTTAGAAATTGAGTGAAAAAATCACTCGAAATGAACTCTTGAACTTGTTTTAGCTTCTAATTTATTGTTTTAGTTTATTTGATTTAGGATCGATGTTTAAATTCGTTTTTTTTTGTGTTTTTTTTTTTATTTTTTATTTTTTATTTTTTATCATTGGCTGCCAAAAACTGGGTGTTACTGCGAATAAGAATTAGATATGATGTTTAAGTTTAAGTAATAATGTTTAGAATTGCTTTATCTATTTGTCGAAGTGCGTTTTGCTCTGTACAAATATGCGGATTTTTTTTTAAAGAAATGTCTTAGCATATTGTTTGTCTTGCTTATTTTTTAGGATGATCGATTATTGATATAGTTTGGGGTTTTTCCCTTCTCCTCAAGTTGTATTGGTAAAGACTGAGATTTGGTAAAAGAGGAAAAAATATACCATATAAAATCATTTCTTCATTTCAACTTTTCAGGCCATTAATTTCAAATTATTGCTTGCCTGTCTTTCCTTTCAAGGTTTGAATGTGTATCTCATATTTAGAATTAGAGCCCATTCTGGCATCCTTTTTATTCTTGTCGATGTTTTTTTTCCCATAAGGTGCTTATATTAACTTACAGGTCATCGTCTTGAGTTGTAAACATGGCAGATGGATCACAGTGTCCGTCAGTATTTCAAAAAATACATGGGCAGTCCTACTTCATATCCAGGCTTTCTCCTAACTTGCATGCTCGGAATTATAATGTGACTGGTGAATTTGCCAATGGAGGAATTCATGTTGCTTTACAGCCATCACATCAAGCCACTGGGTTGGCACACTTGTCCCCTGTTTCTACCATATTTGTACAAGCTCCATCAGAGAAAGGCGTTTCTGGTTTTATGGTGGATTTTCTCATGGGAGGAGTTTCTGCAGCTGTTTCGAAGACAGCGGCTGCTCCGATTGAGCGGGTTAAACTTTTAATACAGAATCAGGATGAAATGATCAAAGCTGGGCGATTGTCTGAACCATACAAGGGAATTACTGACTGCTTTGCCAGGACTATTAAAGATGAAGGTGTCCTTTCTCTTTGGAGAGGCAACACTGCTAATGTTCTCAGATACTTCCCCACCCAGGTTGATTTTCTCACTAGATTTTTAAATGCTTTCTCTTTCTTTTCTGCCTTCCCTTTTAAGGTGTGTTTGTTTATTGAGTTGGTCTGTTATATTGCTGTGACATTCGCTGTTGCTTCATACGTATTCTTGTTAGAGAAGCAGAAAAAAAACCTCAAAGAATGAGGCTTTTGATGTACATTTAAAATGCATGATCTACTATTGACTATGTTAGTTTGGTCAAAGAACTTGCTTATGTTTCATTTTGGTCTCCTTCCCTCTCAGTCTATTTTTTCTACTTAAAGCTTAACTCTTATACATTTTCCAGGCTCTGAACTTTGCCTTCAAGGATTACTTCAAGAGGATGTTCAACTTCAAGAAGGACAGAGATGGCTACTGGAAATGGTTTGCAGGGAATTTGGCATCTGGTGGTGCTGCTGGTGCTTCATCTCTTCTGTTTGTTTACTCTCTGGATTATGCGCGGACACGTTTGGCTAATGATAATAAGGCTGCTAAAAAGGGTGGTCAGAGGCAGTTTAATGGTTTAATTGATGTCTACAAGAAGACCATCCAATCTGATGGCCTTGCTGGTCTTTACCGTGGATTCAATATCTCATGTGTTGGAATTATTGTCTACCGTGGACTCTACTTTGGAATGTATGATTCTCTGAAACCTGTTATTTTGGTTGGTGGATTGCAGGTATGTGAGCTATAATGGATCCTGGTTTCTGCCCTTCAAAACTATGTCTAATCTGTAACATTACCCAGAGTTTTATTGTTGATGTGAACATAGAGCCTGATTCTCTCTGGTTATTTGGTATTTACAGGATAGTTTCTTGGCAAGTTTCTTACTGGGTTGGGGTATCACAATAGGTGCTGGACTGGCATCTTATCCAATTGATACAGTACGCAGAAGAATGATGATGACCTCTGGAGAAGCAGTCAAATATAAGAGCTCATTGGATGCATTTTCTCAGATAATCAAGAATGAAGGTGCTAAATCACTGTTCAAGGGTGCTGGTGCAAACATTCTACGCGCTGTTGCAGGTGCTGGTGTGCTTGCTGGCTATGACAAGCTGCAAGTCATTTTCCTTGGCAAGAAATATGGATCTGGCGGTGGTGGCTAATGTTATCACATTACTGTGGAAGGTGATACTGGTATCTTGAAGAATGATTTAGGATCCCTAGTTCAATAATGTGGATGGATACATAGTGATTTAATACGAAAGGGTAATTAATGACGAAAAAGTTACTTGAATTGAATGTTACATGTGTTTAGTTCCAAGACTATGTAGGTTTTGGTTCTTTTTGGTGAGAATAATTGAACAATGCTCTGCTTTCAAATACTTGCTTGGTCTGTGATTTTCTTGTACTTTCTTCCCGTGATGTAATAGTGCCAGTGTTTTGCTTTTACCTGTTCGGTAACTGCTCCCAGATTTCATTGTGTTTTTACCTATTCCAGGCGCAAGTTGTCAATTATTGGAATTCTCCTCATGTTAACGGTAATATAATAGAAGGAAATGCTGCTTATGATGCTTAATCAAGATAGGGCTCCTTTTCTGATGTTTGGTCAAAGATTTTTGAGTCAGATTTCTATTTCTTTGGTTAGGAATTAAAGTAGACTGGTGGTGGATGAGGTTGCGAAAACAGAATATGGTTTCCTTTTCCTTCTCTTTTTGATTGAAGGAAACCAGAGTTTACAGATTATATAGTTAGGCATTTTGATCATTTAATGTGAACCCTTAAGATCCGATTAGTTACTTGAAACAGAGCACAAAACCTGTCAATTACTTGGAGACTGATGACACTAATAAAAGGAGTTTAGCAATGCTTAATTTAAAAAAAAAAATATAAGGGTATTACGAATAACCTTTTATTATAATAATATATTTAATATAGTACTTAAATTATAAATTTATTAATTAATATGATATTTATATTTAATGTGATTAAATTTAAATAATGATACGTGATAAATAAATAAATATTTTAATAAATTTATAATTTAAATATCATATTAAAAAATTTTAAAATTAAAGTATTACATTATAAATTTTTAAAACTTAAGTGTCAAATTCACATATCAAGGACTATTCATAGTTAATTCACAATATTAACCTTTAAGGAATCAATAGTGCCACCATTATTTTTTGGAAAATAAATGAAAAAGAAGGTGGATCATCTGCCATTTTCTGCCTACTAAGTATTTTGTATGGATATGGATATCAACAGTTGTAAAAAGGCAACGACAAATCAATAATCTCACTTCCTTGTTTTTTCCATGAGGACTTGTTTGGTTGTCACCTACGTATAAGATTAGAAGTATCAAACGATTCTTTGATTGTTGGCATGATAGTGAAAACCTGAAGGGCTGAACCTACTCCAATCCACCATCCCAGCTCTTTCATCCAGCCGAAAAACTGCCACAAAAACCATCTTTGATTGTCTATACGTCCTTAGGCAAGCCAAACCACTTTCAGACGTAGTCTGATATAACTTGTGAAGGAAAACATGTTTTAATTATCCCTTCAGTTCCAAGGAATCTTTCCCTTTTTTCTCCGGTAGTCTGAAGCTGTCTTTCTCCTGCTCCACTTCAAACAACTGCGAAAACTACATGGAAGGAGATAAGTCCTTATCCTGCGCGTCCTCTTCCCTTTCCAATTCCCACAGTGCCAAAGTCTACGACCAAAATTCAGCTGTATATCTATCAGAATCAATGTTTTGGTCAGGCATTGCTACCAGTCTTAATTGGCCGACAAAACCAACATTTCCTCGACTTACCCAATTGAAGCATGAAAAATCTCTGATGCAAAATAGTATAATTTCTTTTAACACCAAATGTAATGGTTAACTGTCACTATAACGAGGGTTGCTTTGGATCTCATCGTCTAGAAAAGAAATCAATGTTTCCGTTGGACATGAACAGCATGATTAAATAGAAGACTGAAGCATTTCGCTTGAAAATGAAAGAGTTCTCTACATAAAATCAAGCCAAGTCTGATCAACAATGCATCCACCAAAACAATAATGGCTTCAACTTTGTGTTCTTCATTCATTTCCAGTGCCTTGATAATCTTGCTAGTCCACCTATCTTCCTCCTCCAACAATCTGGCAGCAAAACACACCTATTCCGCCTCTCATCACCACCGCCACCACAACCGTTCCCCGTTTCCAAACCCGAAACTTCAGAAAGCTTATATTGCCCTTCAGGCTTGGAAACGAGTCATCTACTCAGACCCCCGCAACTTCACCTCTAACTGGGTTGGTCCTGAGGTTTGCAACTATACAGGCGTTTTTTGTGCGCCTCCCCCTTATGACAAGAAAATCATAGTAGTTGCTGGAATTGATCTTAACGGTGCTGATATAGCCGGTTTTCTCCCTGATGAGTTGGGCCTTCTCTCAGACCTTGCACTCATCCATCTCAATAGCAATCGCTTCTGTGGCATCCTGCCACAAACTTTATCCAATCTGTCACTTCTCTTTGAGCTTGATCTTAGTAACAATAGGTTTGTAGGGCCTTTTCCATACGTTGTTCTCTCTCTTCCATCTTTACAATTTCTTGACCTTCGATATAATGAGTTTGAAGGGCCATTGCCTCCTCAACTTTTCACTAAAAGTCTCGATGCCATATTTGTTAATAACAACCGATTCTCTAATGTGATACCATCCAATTTCGTTGGAAGTTCAGCTTCTGTTGTGGTATTTGCCAACAACAATTTTGGAGGCTGCCTGTCACCAAATATTTCCAACTTTGCCAACACTTTGGAGGAGCTGCTATTAACCAACACTAGCTTGTCAGGGTGTTTGCCACCAGAAGTAGGTTACCTTTACAAACTAAAGGTGTTGGATGTGAGCAATAATAATTTTGTTGGTCCAATACCTTACAGCATTGCAGGGTTAGCTCATTTGGAGCAACTAAACTTGGCACATAACATGATGAGCGGGATTGTACCCATGGGAGTTTGTATTCTACCGAAGCTGGAAAATTTTACATTCTCTTATAACTTTTTCTGTGAGGAGGAAGGGATTTGCCAGAACTTGACATCGCATGGTATAGTTTTTGATGATCGCCGTAACTGTTTGCCAGAGAAGCCAAACCAGAGAAGTCAGAAAGAATGCCAAGCTGCGCTTGAACATCCAGTTGACTGCTTTCACTACCACTGTGGTGGTGGGAGTAGCGGTGGCGTTCTTGGCAGTTCAACTGCAATTCCCTCGGCCATGATGCCCGCTGCTGCACCACTTTTATCACCTTCTATGGCTCCTGGCTACGTGTAAATAGACATCTAAGGTGGTTAACAATAGTAAAAGCGAGAATAAGTTATTAAGATATTGTAAGTCCTTTTGAGATATTGTAAATACCTTTATGTTTCTAAACTTCAAAAATAAATTTAATGAACTCTCCTATTAGGTTTGTTTTAATTTGTTAATGGTTAATAATATTCTTGGTATTATATAAAGTTGATGAAATTATGAATCCAAAAATTAGCTCAAATGATTTATATAGTAATTTTTATGAGTTACTATCTAGTAAGTTTAGAATTTAAATCTAAATATTAGCAACCATTTCTTCTATCCCTAAGCTATAGCCTCTTTTATAAAAGAGTTAAATATAAAATGATTCTTAAACTATATATTTTTTTATCAATTTGATACTTAAAGAATTAAAATTATTAGTTTGATACTCCAACTTTTATTTTGTTATTCATTTTGGTATCTAAGTTTAATATCATTAATCAATTTGTTGCAATGACATTAATATCTAATAAAATGTTAATGTGTCAAAAAATTCAGTTAGTGGCATATCATCAATGCTATGTCAATACTAAAAAAAAATTTTTTAAAAAATTCTAAAAAATTAAAAAGAATTTTATAAAATTTTATAAAAATTCAAGAAAATTTTAAAAGTTATACAAAAATTCAAAAAATTCAAATAAATTCTAAAAAATTGTAAAATTTTTTAAAAAATCATAAAAATTCTAAATGAATTTTAAAAAATTCACAAAAACTTAAAAATATTTAAAATAAAAAAAATCTATTTTTTTTAAAATGTTAAAAATTTTGAAAAATAGTAAAAATTTTTCAAAAAAATTCTGAAATTTTTTCTTCTTTTAATCTTACAATTTTAATTTTTTATATAATTTACAAAGTTTGCAATTTTTTTGGATTTTTATTAAAATTTTAAGTTTTTTTATTTTTATTTTCAGAATTTTTAATAAAATTTTTAAGAATGTTTCAGAATTTTGAAATTATTTAATTTTTTAAAAAACTGAAAAAATATTTTGAATTTTTTTAAAAAAATTATATTTTAAAAAAATTTTTATATCTTTAAAATTTAAAAATTTTTCAAAAAATTTTTAGATTTTTTATTTTAAAATTTTTTGTGATTTATTTAAATTTTAAGAAAATTTAATTTTCATTAAAAGTTTCATTTTTATTTAATTTTTTGGATTTTTTATTAAATTTTTTAGAATTTTTAGAAAATTTAAAATTATCAATTTTATAATTTTTAAAAAAATTTCATATTTTTAATTCTAAAAAAATTTTTAGAATTTTTCAAAAATTTTTTGAATGTTTTAGAATTTATTAAAATTTTTTATAATATTTAAAAAAAATTTAAATTTTTTATTATATTTAAAAAAAATTTAAATTTTTTTATAATGTTGAAAAAATAATTTAGAATTGTTTAAGAATTGTTTAAATTTTTAACTAATTTTTTAATAAGTTTTTTTAAAATTTTTAGAAATTTTAAAATATTTTAAGAATTTTTATATTTAAAATTTTTTTTTTGAAAATTTCATTTTATACTAACGTAAAATTGATTATTTGACATTGATTGAAAATTTTGACATGTGTTAACATATTATTGGATGTTAATCTCATGTCAACATTTCATACTAACACCACTAACAATGTTAGTTTAAGATAATAACGTAATAACGGATAAAAAATTGAGGTATCAAACTGGTAAATTTTATTTCTTTAGATATTAAATTGACAAAAATACATAATTAATGAATCATTTTTATATTTAACCCTTTATAAAAACATATTTAATCATCTTGTCAGTTTCTGTTTTTTTTTTTTTTAATATGAAAAATGAGAATGCAAATCTTGAATCTTTTCCTACGGAGTCAAATAGAAAAGCCTTAATTTCAATTTAAGGCATAGTTATAGCATGGCAATTTAAGGTTAACTTTCCGATCAACCAATTTGCAAATATTCACCAATTGGAAGTGTACGAGCTATCTAGTTTTCAATAATGCATAATTTAAAAGAAAAAGACATATACACGCCTTAATTCATCATTTGGTTGCTCGTAGGTTTACTTATTTGTTGCTGGCTGGCGTGACATGGAGTCTGGTATTGCTTGGTTCTGCTAATACAGATAACGCTCGAGAACGAAAACAATTTGCACTTTCTTTTTTGATTTCTTTTTTGCTATGGCATTTAGTACTTGTTATGAAATATCAAATTTATACAATTATACAATGAATACAAGAATGTTGCCTTCAAACTGTTGTTTTTAACTCGCTGATGCTGTACCTCAGTTATCTCTGAAAATGGAACCAGGCAACAAGTCTGTACTGGAATCTTTTCTCCACCTGAAACAAAACATATAAGTGACTCAGGTTGTAACATTTTAGGGTTAAAGAAAGTAGCACTTCACTGATTTTCTTCCTTCTCTTTCTTCTCCTTCCCTTTTATCTCTCTCTCCCTCTACCCAGAAACATCAGAAACCTCCTACTCCACTTCAAGTTTGATCTTGGTGGCTGCAAACAGAATCTTAGAGGCAAAGGAGGGTTTTGGTGGTTGAAGGAAAATTAGGGTGTGGAGGAGATAGGTTGCCACCGGTTGCTTCAGTGGTGGCTGGAGTTGGATAAGTCTCTTTAAGGTTTGTAGGATGTTGTTTAGGAAACCGAGGAAGAAGAAATTAGCAAAAAAATGAGAAGAGATGAGATGCCGAAATTGTCTTCCCTACTAAAAATCTGCAAGACAATTTCCTCAAAAATGGGAACTATTTGCCTTTGACTGGGAAATCATTTTTGGTTGGCTTAATCAGTTTTTGATATCCAAAATACAGGAAAAAGGGAAAATCACTTCCGGAAAATATTTTCAATTGAAACAAACGGACCCCAAATTATAAATTCCTCACAGGAAGAAACATGACTCCTCTTCTGACAAGTCATTTTCAAGCATTTAAAATTTTGTTAATGTGGTTGGAAACGAAAATAATGTCAAACTTCAAGATTGGCATTGGGTCATTACCGCAATGAATAAGTTGGAACTCATCAATGGATCCTATGTTGCAAAGATAAGTGGAAAATTTTCTTCAAGCTGGTGGTAATGAACGCCGGCAAGTTGGGCATTCCATCTTTATGTCCATCCACCTTTGCAAACAACCAGAATGAAAGAAATGATCGCATGGTGTTACCTGTTAGAGATATGCAAATTTATTCAAGTTCACAGTTGAATAAGATGATGCTAAAGAGCCATCAAATAAGGATAAAACTAAATCACAACAGTGTACCATGCAATCACTTGAATGCTGTGTGAGATCAATGGCAGTCATACAAATGACACAGTCTGTGGCATAATTTGTATGTGGATCAAATCTTCTGTAGTAGCTATATTTCTCAGGTAGGATCTGCAAACCGCAAAATCAAAGTGAAATCTCCATATGAGGTTTTTGGAAACTTCAGGTAAATCCAAAGACATATTGGACATAATAAATATTTAAAATTCCCAGCAGAACAAGCACATTTCACCATGAAACAAGGCTGCTGTTAAACAAACGAAATAGGATTCACTAAATTGCAAAGGGTTGGAAAGGAACAATCCAGCAGTCATAAATTAAGATTTCCCCAGTTAAGAATTAAGAAAAAGACTTCCTATGGGAACAAGGGGGAGAGAGATAAATGAATTTGTTAACCACAAAAAGACTTTCGTAATAGTAGGTCCTAATTAACTAAACAACTCCTGGCTTATGAAATTTCCTAAAGGTGCTTTACGTCAAGTTGTATTAGAGACAAACATATAAGCACTTGATTATGTGCATATGTCAGGGTTAGTAAGCTACCAAAAAGAGGGGAAAAATGAAAACAAAAAAGGTTATACATGAAGAGAATAACAAAAATACATCTGACCTGATGAGGAATGAAACATCGAGATCCAAGATAGTGCTGAAGAAGAAGAATAGATGCTTGAAGTCCAATGAATACACCCAAACAGATACACCAGCTCTTGTCAGGCTCAATGCGCATGAAGTTGTGTGGGCATCCAAATACATATAATGGGATTGCTAGCCGTGTAATAGTCATGCCTAAGATGTAATGAGGATGCAAAGGTTTTCTTGAATCACGAACTAACATTGGTGATTATTTGAGGCATCCAAAAGGAGTACAAAAGGAGAAGCATGGGCTGCAAAAAATTATGAAACTCATACATGACCAAAATGCCTCCTAAAAGGATCCCATCTGCAAATATTTGCATTAGTTAGATCAGGTTAACCCAACAACTTGACATAAGCTTCATAATCTAAGTAATTGAATCCAAAAGAAATCAATTGGATATATTGTCATTGGAAAAGTAAGAAGCACATTGAGTGGCTAACATTGAAAACTACTTAGAAGTAATACGGGAAGCAATACTTGTACTCCCTTGATCATCTCTCACAGCATTTCTCCAGCATGCATCACTTCTAAATGCTATAATCTCTTTTTACTATGTGACACCCAAAATCCACTTTAGCCTTCCTAGCATCATTTCTTATTTCAGATTTTTATGCCTCCGACAATCCCTTTTTAGTTACTCTGAAAAACTGACAGCTTTCCAAATATTGGGTAAAACGTGTCACTTTTATTCTTGCCATTAACTCAAGGTTTTTCTCTTTCTCTCTGTCTGTACCTTTCACTTTTGGACGGCAATGAAGTTCTTGCTACTATACCAGTAAAGAGGATCTAATTTGTTTACACTGCTATTAGCTTTTAGATGAAACCATCTTTTGGCTTTTGCATCAACTAAGCCTCCTATCAATTTATGATCTTACCAGCTGTCTTTAGATACAAAACTAATGAATGTAGACGGTGGGTTAAGTTTATGCAAGAGGAAGTGACTAATTATTTGTCTTCGTATCACTGTCATTGAATTGGCATATATATGAAACTTCTATCCACAAACATAAAGACTTTTCTGGCACTTACAGAAACGGCTATATAGAACTGATAGCTCACGCCTCATTGTCTCCCAGCCTTCACCATTATTCAAAGGCCTGCTTGCCTTCCATATTGCTAGAAGGTACCTCATCTCAAAAATGGAGAAAACTACAAA